CACCCCGCACCCCCCCCCGGGCACATCACAGCATCCCCCTCCCCGTCTGCCCATATCTCAGTCCTGGCCACTTACCCAGCACAATGAGCTCAGCGTAGGCCTCATTGTTGCCCTGCAGATCCTGGGAAGAGGTGACCGTACAGTAGTACACCCCGCTGTCGCCCCAGGCTGTCTGGTCAATGCTCAGGTCAGCATCTGTGGGGAAACAGATGAAGACAAAGCTGGAGACACCGGAGCCAGGGTGGGAGAACTGGAGTCACAGCTAACACGCACAAAGGATCTCCAAGCAAGGCACCACGGATCCCTTTTCAGCTCAGTCTAGGAAAAGACAATGGTGTCCGGGGTCAGAGCCGATTCCTGGGTTCTGTCCCCAGTGATGGAAGGAGAGTAGATTAGAAAAGGGTGTCAGGGCCTCACATTGAGATACCAGCCAACTGGAGGGTGTTCAGATAAACAGCACTAAAAATACAGCGAAGGAGAAGGAGACTGTGGCCTGGGTTGCGTAAGAAGGCAGATTGTGCTGTCTCTGTGTGGGGGCAGGAGGGTGAATTACCCAGGGCTTGTGGGAAGGAGTTGTGGAGAAATGTCAAACGGAATCCTCCCCACAGGGCTCAGTGGCCAGTCACCACCTGCTGATCTCAAACAATGGCACTTCCACCAATTGAGGGCTTTAAAACTGAAATCAACACTAAGCCCTCAAATACACACACAGGCCACCACGCCCTGCTGGCGGGAACAGGCCAGAGCAGCAGGAAAGAAGTTTACAATTCTTGCGCACATATTGTGCCCCCCTCTGATGATCCCTTAAAAAGGAAATTGAAAAGCTGAGATATGCTGGAGCAATTATACGTCTAGCTGTACCCTGCTGGGTGGAGATTGGTACAGCACACTGGCATAGGCTCTCCTAGTGTGGGCAAGGCACTGCCTCCCCGTGCCTCAATTTCCCCATATGAGAAATGGGAATGGCACTGCCCTCTCTGAAAAAAGGGTCCACTATGAGATCTACTAATGAAAATAGCTAGAGGTTGTTATATCAGCCAGACAGTGTTTTTGCCAGAATCTCTTAGTCCAGGCAAATAAGCTGCATCAATTTTAGCAGTATAATGTCATCTACGCAGGAGTCTGCTGGCACAGTTGTCGCAAATCTATTCTGTGCTATCAAAGTCAGTTGACATACTTCCCCCCCTCCCCCACTATGGCTATGCCAAGCAACCTGACCATGTAGCTGAGCCCTGAATTACATTTAGTGAGACTCCTAGATCGACAATGTTTATCTCAATGGGTTTAGAGTTTGTTCTATGTTCATGAAGCACCCTGCACAACGGGGTCTGGTCCATACTGAGGGCTCCTAGGTGCTACCATAACACAACTAATGGGGTTTGAAATTTTGAGCCCAGAGAGAGGACAAGACACTTGCCCGGTCAAACAAATCCCTAGCTCCTACCATCTGTAGATCTCAGAGCTCTTCACAAAGCAAATCGGTATCATTATCCACAGTATACAGGTGGGGAAACGGACAGGCAATGACTTGTTGAAGGTAACTCAGTAACCCACTGGCACAACTGAGTCTGGAATTCAAGTGTCCAGAGCCCTGGCCTGGGCAGCTTTGGGAAAAAGAAAAGTTAGGTCTCTTGAGAGTCACTCTCAAATAACTATTTCAGCCCAAAGTACAGTCTGGCTGTGTGGTGTAGTAGATAGCACTCTAGACTGGGGCTCAGGACACCTGGGGGGTCTTACCACTAAACTGCTGTGTCACCTCAGACTTGTCACTTCACCTCTCCATGTAAGATCTTGGGCATAGTTTTACTCTGTGGGGTGCTCTGGAGCTGGAGGATCCATGGGAAAAACTGGTGGGTGCTGAGCACCCACCGGCAACCAGCCTCTCTCCCTCCTTCCCCCAGGCCTCTCACCTGCTGGTGGTCCCACTAACCAACACCTACCTCCACCACTCAGTACTTTGGGAGCAGGGGAGCACTGCAAACAACTGATCTGCAGCATTCAGGAAGCTCCAGGAGGGAGGGGAAGGAGCAGGGGTGGAGTATGAACTTTTAATCAGTTTTGACAAACTTGGTCTAGGATTTTGCTCCACGTCCATTAGGTCATCGTGTATGCTGGATGGCGTCTCTCGTCTGGCCTTCTAAACAACACAGGCCAGGGACTTTCACCCTGTTACCCACAGGTTTCATTGGACAAAAGCATCTTTCATAAAGGCCTCCAGTCTGTCCATCTTTTGGGGTCATTCAATCCAATCCACCACTTCCCTCGGGTCCTTGTTCAACAGCTAATCACCCTTACTGTTAAATTTGCACCTTCTAACTGAAATGTGTCTGGCTTTAACTGCTGTACATTAATTATTTTTCTACCTTTCTCCAATACACTGCAGAGCTCGTTAGTACCTGGGATTTTCTCCCCCTGAAAAAAAGATTAAATCACCTGCTGACCTTCTTTTGGATAAGGTGAGCAGTTCAAACTTTTTCACACCCTCACTGTTAGGCCTTTGCTCTAGCGCTTAGATTATGTTTGCACCTCTTCTCTACACCTTCCCCAAAACCCTTTATAAAAAGGGCAGCCCAGAACTGGACACAGACTTCAAACACTGCTCTCTCCAATGCCAGCAAACTTTTTACACTTCATAACCAAGCAGTTTTCCCTACCGCTCCAATTCACAGTGTGATGCTGAGGTTTGGGATTTGTGACATTAAACGCTCACCATAAAATCCAGCTGTGACACCTAACAGCCTAACTAGGACATCACTGGAGTCCTGACCTAACTAGTTCTATTCTGTTGACCTGCATCTCCAGACAGCTTTATTAGACTCTCTCACACTCCCTTTCCCAAACTGTAATTAAACCTTTGCAAAGAACTGCAAGGATGGTAAGTTATGTAAGGGAATCATTAGGATTGTGATCAGCTGTAATTAGGGCTAAGATTTAACTACTGGGTATTGTGGTAGTTAGCTACAGGGTTCCAACCCTGAGCTGGCTGCATTTTAGTAAGGGGAAAGTGATCCACAGTTTATAACGTGCAAGACACTGGAGTGTTAAAAACTAAAGATTTTTGCTGCATGAATCACACACCAGTTGGGCCAGGTTAAGACAGAGCTGCTGCTATCACAAAAAATGCCTCCGGGTAAGACAACACAAATAGAAAAGGCATAATAATGGAACAGAGTTTGGCTGAAGACAGCTGGAACTCAGCTCCAGTTGGTTTTAGACACATGATTGCAGAGCAAAGTGTTTTGCTGTGGACTTTCGACCCACCACAATGCAATGCAGTTCACTTGCTCTAGTTTCACAATGTAAAAGTAGTAGAACCTGAAAACATTTGTACTGGATCAGTGCCAATCGAGATCAGAGCTCTGTCATGCCAGGCACTGCTGAGATGCAGTCCCTGCCCCAGCTGAAATCAGGGCCCCATTCTGCTAGGTGCTGCCCAGGCACAGCAAGATAGTGTTCACCCTAAAAAGCTTCCAATCAAACTAGACAAGGCAGGTTTATCATCTCCAAATGGGGAAACTGAGGCTGGAGGAAATGACTTTTCCAGGGTCACACAGGCAGTCCATGGCAGAGCTAGGAATCAGGCACTGACATGCAGATTTCCAGAGGACACTTGAAAGCCTCATGTCCTGTCCTGTGCCCTGGCCTCACTCCACCCTTTGCCCCACACTGTTTCTGCCCTTGCTCTACCCCCTCTTCCAAGGGTGCCCCATATTCAGCTGGGGCCTCCATGTAGCGGGAGGAGCATGTTCTAAAGGGTGAATTAAGTCCCCACCACCACCACATCCAGTTCCAAGACCACCATGCTCTCCCCACCCCATGGTACCTGTGGGGGCACTTCATCCTCCCACCATGCCTCCCCCCTCCACATTATGCCATTCTCCCTGGCAGGTGGGACCTCAGGCATAGTGCAGGTGGGAGCTGATTCTAATGCCAGCTTCTCCTAGTCATTGCTCTGCAGCCTGCCTGGCAGCTGCATGAAAAAGAAGTGGCTTCTGCTCCCAGTTTACACTGACTGGAGGAGCCCACAGACAGCAAGAAGTATGGGAGGAGAAGAAAAGGCCCAACAGTGGGTGCACAGCACCCACTCAATTATTCCCCCCAGGTGCTCCAGAGCTAGAAAGCTCATGCAGTTGGCACCCTGAGCTGGGAATTGAACCCAGCAGACCAGAGTCCTAGTCTGTGGCTTAACCACAGTCAGCATCCCCCCACCACTTCCTGATAGAGATCAGAGCATCTGACACCAGAGCACTCAGCTTAACCTTAGCCAGGCAGAGCTGTTCTGAGACCCAGGTGCAGAATGGTTAGAGCGGAACAGGACCCAGGGACTCAGCACCCCCACTGTAACCCAATGCCCAAGGGCAGCACCATGCTGTGCTGTGGCGTGGAGAGGGGAGAGCGCCAAATGCCCCAAATACATATAACAGAGGCCATGTCACTAATGTTCCAAACCCGAGAGGTGGCTGCATTTCACCCCTGGGCAAACGATACCAAAAGGTTATTAAGAGTTTCAGAGATCTACCCCAGAGATGGCTGCATTTCTGTGGTGGACTCTCTTAACATCAGCCCTTTCTTTTCAGACCTCCCACTTCAGTTTCAAAAGCCACTGCTGTATTTGTTCTCTCCTCCTGGAAACCAATATGCCATGAGCATGAGCAGGATCTGAGCTTGGAGTTCAGACACTGAACTAAGACGCAGGAGAACTGGGTTCAGTTAGTGTTCTGCCACAGTCATCCTCCATTAGCGTGGGCATCTTGCAACATCACTGCATGCCTTTGTTTTCCCAGGAGTAAAATGAAAATACAGAGGGGGAATGATCAGCCCAGCAGAATTTTGTGGGACAGGGACTGCCTCACTTCCTGTCTGGACAGCACTGCACAATACAACCCCAAACTCAGCTGTGGTGGGAGCTGCCCCCATTTCTGACTGCTACCACAGTCCATCTAATAAGTGCATAGTACAAATCCTCTTCTCTCTTCCCCAGTTATTCCTCATCTCAGTGAGGGACCCTTAGGCCCTACCAATGTGCATCTAATAAGCAAGCACATTGTATTCCTTCTGCCCCACACATACTGGGGGTGAAAATGAATGAGCACCTCTCATAGAAGGCTGTACCATAATACAGCCAATACAGGGGCGGGCAATAACTTTTTCTTGCAAGCCACTCTGAGAATCTGGTAAGTGGTCAAGGGCCACACTCTTCTGCAGTATTAATGGAGGAGGTGTGAAGTCTGGGATGGAGGTTAGGTGCAGACATCGGCTCAGGGTAAGGGACTGGGGCTGGGGGAGGGGGAACCTCTCATAGAAGGCTGTACCATAATACAGCCAATACAGGGGCGGGCAATAACTTTTTCTTGCAAGCCACTCTGAGAATCTGGTAAGTGGTCAAGGGCCACACTCTTCTGCAGTATTAATGGAGGAGGTGTGAAGTCTGGGATGGAGGTTAGGTGCAGACATCGGCTCAGGGTAAGGGACTGGGGCTGGGGGAGGGGGACAGG